GACTGAGAGAGGAACGAGGCGGGAGGAAACCGAAGCCGCTGAGCCAGAGAGCAGGACAGGCTTCGGTTGCTTCCTCCCTTCCCTTCTCTCATTTGTGTCCTTGATCCCCGATCCCAGCAGCATTCACCGAAGGCGAAGAAAGCCACCATTTTTTTTAATTTTTTTTTCTTTGCGGCCCGGGACAGAGTGCTCCACGGACCGGGACCGGTCCGCGGACCGGTGGTTGAGGACCCCTGGTGTAGCTACCCTCTGCAGTTGCCTCATGATGCGGGGGTGGGGAGTGTTGGCTTTAAAGAGATGCAGATATATTTTACCCCTGTACACCCCAAAGCACATTTTTGGAATAAAATCTAAAAAATTGAATACTGAATAAATATACTTAGAATCTAAAATCTTTTCTTGGTAAATGTGTATATGGATAGGCATGGTTTTGCATACCACCACAATTTTGCTACCCTCACTAATTTTTATTCTCTCTTAGGAATTACCTTTTTGGTAGTATGCAAATGAATTGCAGCTCTATTACATGTTAAGCAAGATGTAGTTAATGTGCTGCTGTTGTTGCTCTATTCTAAATTGCCTTCCAGAACTCAAGATAATGTATGTACTCTCTCTACTTTTCCCATAACAGCTCTTTAATATAGGATGGACTGGGAGATAGTCACTGGTCTCAAATCCTACTGCACCACATTTCCTTGCTTGAAATCATCACATCCCATTGCCCTTTTATCAGCAGTACACCTCTCTGTCAGTAATTAACTGTTTTGTGGATGTCTGTATATGCTAATGTGCATATGTTCATGTGTACTCTAATAAGTATCATTTTTCCCACTCCCGGGCCTAATTTGGCACCAATGAGTACTCAACTCTGAAATGATGCTTACCTCTGATTCTGTCAAGGCAGTGTGGGGTTTCAAACTGTCTTCAGCTTCCAGAATATCTGGACATAGGCTTTAATGAGTTTCATCTGCATGAAGTCAGGCAACCTGAAGCACTTGTAAATTCTGACATTTTATGATTTTTATGATTGCAGAAACAGATTCAAAGCCTAAACAAAATGTGTTCCAACTTGCTAGAGAAAATCAACAAAGAAGATCGAGAATCTGAAAGTGGAGGTATGGTTCTAGATAAGGAAGAAGACTGAATGAGCTTTAGTGGGGACAACACTATTGAGAGACAGAAATCCCAGCAACAGAGATTAAAGTATGTTAAGAAGTAAAACCTACACCTTTGGAAAATTTGGAGACCAGTATGAATGTTTTTCTATCCTATAGGTTTACGGCAGAACAAGCAGACATTCAACCCTGCTGATACCAATGCCCTAGTTGCAGCTGTAGCCTTTGGAAAAGGATTGTCCAACAGACGTCCACCAGGAGTGGGAAGTTCTGTTCCGACCAGTCAGCAAGGTGCCAATGCCATCATAGCTGGTGCTTCTACCATGCAGCAAGTACAAATGTCGGGCGCACCAAATCAGCCACAGCCTATGCTTGGAGGAGTGCAGATGCCACAAGCAGGGCAACCAGGTAAAAAGAATCACAGACAAATATATAGTGGTACTGTTAAGACAATAGGAAATGTCCCATGAAAATTAAACATTTTGTACAGACTGGCTTTAGAAAACGATGATTTGAGATAAGATATGCAATACCTGTTTCTTCCACATCATTTTAGCAAGGGATATGGCAGCGTATGATTTATATTAACATTATCCCGGAGCCTGGAGATGAGATAGGATTGTATTAAATATAGGAATGCCTATTATATTGAGAATAAGTGGCTAGTAACCAAAATCAGGAGCAGGCTACTCTTATTATGTCCAGCTGGATGGAATTTTAAAAAGGGAAAATAGGATAGTGGGGAGGTTAAGTCTTTTCTCTTATTCATCAGGCTTCTTGTTTAGTGCATAAAATGCCTGAGAAACTTGCACATAGTGATGTTAGAGTGTGAGTGAGTGATTAAATAAACCTCCCTCAAAAATATGTACAGATATAGTATTAAAGATATTGCCCCCTAAATTGGTCAGATTCTTATTACATTACTAAACCCAGCTTTTTTCATCTCTCCAGGTAAGATGCCCAGTGGCATAAAAACCAATATCAAATCTGCTTCAATGCATCCCTATCAAAGATGAGTGGGAAGTAGTCTGGTCTTATTGCTGTTCCTGGATTTCATTTCCAAGTCAACACTTCTTCAAGTGGTTCTCATCAATTAAACTTGGAGTCTTCTCTGAAGATCACTTGGATCATTTATTAACACAACTGCATTGATCCAGGATACAAGAATGTAGACATGTATTTTTCATTCCAAATGATAGAGGCAATTTTGAGACAAGAGACCTGTTCAGTAGCTAAGTCAAGATGGTAAACAACTTTACTTTTTGTTTATTAATGTAAGCAGCCTGATTCCTGTTTTGGAACTGCCTGTTAGTGACTGAGATTATATGAGACTTGCAAGTTATAACTTTTCTTAAAAAAATAAATAAAGTTCAAGTGCGCTTTCTCATGTAGGCTTTTTTTGTACTTTTAAGTGGCTCATGGGAAAATGTGTGGCTTTGTCTTGGCTGTACTTTTCATATAGTGCTTAAAACCTATACCATTATATAGGCCAGCATATAATCTATTTTGACTCCTGTTTGAGATTCTTCTGTTCAACCCCATTTTTCATTGACTGGGGGAGGGCTAACATTCTAACTCTTGGTTTATTATTATAGAAATTTTGTCAAATAATCAACTACTGGGCAGGCACAATGGATAAACATGCTCAAATTTTATTAATATAACCATCTGAAAATGTTTTAAATGTGACAGAAGGTAAATATTACAATGGGTTTCTCAAGTGGATGATAGTAGTCCTGACAGATCTTCCTTGTGTCAGTGACAAAGGAAAGGCATTACTTTTTTTGCTGTTGATGTGCGAGGGGACCTAGAAGTCAGAAACAATTCTGATTATCCAAAGCTATCACTTACAGTTATTATATGTTTCAGCCACTGGATTCAGGTTCTGCTTAAGAATAGTAACTTACTATTAAGTGACAACATGAGTATCTACTGCTGATAGCAGTAGAAAGGATATTAAGTGATACCTAAACAGGTGTTTAAATATTTGAAAGACAGTTGAAAGACAGTTAATGTTCTGTTCCTAGCAATGGTTGAGCACAAACTTGATCTTCAAGCTCAAGTTTTTAACTAGTCCCATGCAGGGATACTGGTGGCTTGTAACTTGTTCTCTTTGGTGTTGGTGATTGTGGTAGAGATATCCTTTTGGATCTTCTGGGCCAGCAGCAGGAGCAGCAAAAGCTGTGACTTTTAATTTATCAGGAGCCTTGTGTTCAACCTCTTTGACTGGGAAATAGCCCTTCCTCAGCCTCAACTATCACAACAACAGTGGAAAATTGCCACTATTATAGCGTTCTACAGAAATTAAAAGTGTGCCAGAAATACATTTAAATCAATGGGAATTTAGTCTGGATTTATGTGGGAATGAATTTCATGTTTTAACAAATTGAGACAACTGTTAATTTTATGAAATTTCAGTGTAACATAATTCCTGACTGATCTTGAATGATCCTGGAGGTTTGGCATGATTGACTCTGATTAGTACATAGATGTGGGAATAGTACTAGATGAGAAATAAACACACAGAAAGAAAAAAACTGTACTAGATGAGAAATAAACACACAGAAAGAGAGAAGCCTGAAAGATTGCAGCGATAAATCACGTCTATACGTCCCTACATGGATATGTTCTTCTAATCACCAGAAAACAAGCTTGACATCTTAACCTTTTTATAATGATTAAATAATATATTTTTAAAAGATGTTATCAATTAGACTTCTATAATTGGTTGTTAGCCATTCCTTTGAACAAATTGTGGTCAGATATAATTTTTCATAGGTTGTTCTCTTGGAATTTCCTGTGATTAAAAACTAATTTGAAATGAATATCTTATATTGTCATGAGGATCCCTTACTATAAAATATTTATTACAGTAAAACAAGCCTTTTAATTTGAAAACATTAGTTGTCCATCCCACTTTTATATTGCAAATTGTTATTTTTATATGTGCCTTTAAAAATAATTGTGTATCTTTAATTTAAAATGGAATGAATTAAATGGAAGAAAAATAAGCTCAAATTTCATTCACAGTTCCCATACCATTAAGGCTGCCTTATAAAATGAACTGACAATGTTTTTTATTAAATATACAGTTTTACAATTGTAAACAGCAGATCTTCTTTCTATAATCAAATCTGCTGTGACTCATTATGGTATACAAAATGAATTAAGTATTTTACCTGATATGCATTATATAAGGCTTCAAAATTAGATACTAGATATTAGATGTTTTGTCATGGGCTATTTTTCTATCTGTGGTTCCGAGAGTCCAGATAGGATAGGGTTAATTCAGTTCCAGCTCTGGTGGACTGAGTCTGGGTTAAAACTTAAGCTCCGCCTTGTGCCATGGCCATGCCCCGTTTTTGACTCAGTCCAGCCAGGACAGGACATGAGTTGCTGAGGTTCCACTTGCATGGCAAGTGGAGATTTTTTTCAAAAGGACAAAGAAAGAAGTTTTAAACTGCAGGAAAATTGCTTTGGAGGTTCCTGCAGCCAAGTCAGGAGGTTTTTCAGCCTCCACACTTGGAGATCACGCTTTGGGGCTGCTGCTCTAGCGTGGGGAGCCCCGCCCATACAGAGGCTCCAAGCGATCAGGCCGATAAGGCCACCAGCTATTTAGCATGGTTGTGCAGCAGCAGCATGAGCAATCGGCTTGTGTTTCTCTTTTGGTTTTGCTTCTGTTGATCGCTTTGGCTGCGAAGCACTTTGCACAGCAGCTTGCAGCAGCGGCTCAGAGGGCAGTCGGCCCAGAAGAAGATTTGCAGCAGCACAAAGCAGCCACTTGATTGGGCAATCAGCCCGATCTCAGCTGGGGAAGCTCATATATGTATTACATATTTCTTAATTGTCTATTGCCCTTGGAAAATAACATAAAACCATTTCTCCCCTCCTTAGTTAGTTAGATGTATTTTGTTAAATAGAATTAATACATATATTCTACAAGAGCTGAATTAAGAGTAATATATTGATGCATTTAAAGGCTGGTGTCTTTTATTTAACTTCAGCTGGCAGAAAACTATTATATGAAATGAAATAGAATCATACGGTCGGTATTCATTAGTGTGCCATGATTGGATTTTGATGGCAAAGAAATACCTCCATCAGAAATAAACCAACAAATGTAGATTGTCGTGTTTTTTTTAATAAAAATTTTATTTGGGTTTTCACAAAACATAATACAAGTAAAATTTCTTTTTTTGAGAATAGCATGGTCCCAGGTTATCACTTCTCCATACAGTCAAATTCAATTTCATATTCACCTTTGTGTTCTATTCCATATCTTATTACTATTTTAACATTTTCTCAATAATTTTTCCCTTCCCTTAGTTTTCTCAATCTTACTTTTAATTATCTAATTCCTTTCTAAATTCAATTATATATATCTTTTTCTAAGTTTCAATATATTTCTAGTCATTATATTTATACTTTGTCCTGTTTCAATTTCATATTTTCTTTTCTCATGAAACAAATTTTTTCCCTGTAGTTACTAATTGGAGTATGACATCTTTGTATCTTTTAATTTTTATCCATTCAACTCTTATTTAAACTTCATTTTATGCCTTTACAATTATAACATTCAATATAACACATAACTTCTTTTTTTGAGCCCCGAAAAAACGGCTAGGCCGTCTTTTCGGGGGTAACTTAATTTCCCCCCTTTCATCCTCATCTAGAGCGCCCCGCGGGCAGCCTCGCCACCAGCCGCTCCTAACGGGCGATCATGGCGAAGCGCAGAGAGCTCCCTACTCCCACCAAACACCTTTGCTGCAGACCCAAGACCTTTGGCACCTGCCTCTGTTGCTTTCCCTTCTGCCCATTCCGCTGCCGTTTGGAGTGCCGTTGGAGCTGCTGCCGCCGTTTGGAGCTGCCTCTGCCGTTTGGAACTGCCTCTGCCGTTTGGAGCCGCCGCCGTTTGAAGCTGCCGCTTCCGCGTTTGGAGCACTACCGCTGTTTGAAGCACCACCGCCACTCCAAACACGGCGGCAGCTCCAAACACGGAAGCGGCAGCTCCAAATGTGATGGCGGCACTCCAAACGGCGGCAGCGGCTCCAAACGGCAGAGGCATCTCCAAACACGGAAGCGGAGCCACCGCCGCCATTTGGAGCTGCCGCCGCTGTTTGGAGTGCCGTTGGAGCTGCCTCTGCCGTTTGGAGCTGCCTCTGCCGTTTGGAGCCGCCGCCGCCGCCGTTTGAAGCTGCCGCTTCCGCGTTTGGAGCACTACCGCTGTTTGAAGCACCACCGCCACTCCAA